TTTTTTCATCTGGGGCTGTCAACTCCAGCTCCCTCAGAAAAGAAAATGGGAAAAGTGAGACAGTGTCCCTGCATGGTGAAGTCACGTAGTCCTGGGCTTCAGATACGTTCAAATAAATATGTTTTTACTCTGAAAAAAATTAAAAAAAAAAAAAAACTCTTAAGGAAGGTTGTTCTAGGATACATTCTTCTTTTGGAAAATGTATTTTATGTTTTGGCTTATGTATTTAGAAAATAATATAGGATGCATGCATTTTGCTAGTATTTTAGCCCCTTGAAATCTGCCTTGATGTGGAGTTTTGTGCTTTAGCCCCAAGAAATCTGCCTTGATGTGGACTTTCAATGCATGGCATCACCAAAGCAAATTTAATATCTAATTATATATTTTTCCATATTTGAGTATTTCTTAGATTATCTGAAACCCCAGCATTTTAGTCACTTGCAAAAATTTAAAAACTGTGGGACTGATGAAATGAATGAATAATTATTAATAAAGTTAATGGATTTTGAAACTTTTCATTTTGAGATAAGTATTTTATACCCCAAGCATGAAAATCTGTCTTTAGTTATCCACTATTTTGTCTTAAGAATGAAATGGTTTTAATTGTTCTTGAATGTCTGTCAGAATTTTAACTTAAGCGTATATTTTTTTGTATACTTTATTTTTTAAAATAATAGTTATGCAATGTGGAAAACACCCATTTTTGAACATAATGATTTGTGACTTAGTAGAAAACTATCATCATTTCTATTTTTAGTTAATTTTGAAAAAATACTTTACTTTGATATATGATTAAATTCTGTAATTATAATGAATAAATATTTTCTAAGTGTCATAAAACCATAGCTGAATTCATCATATGACTTCTATCTCACATGGTTGTTAATTTTCCCCTCATATTTATCCTATGTCTTAACCTTCCAAAAAATTATAGAAACTTGTGTCCACAATATACATATATATAAACAAATTTCGTGCTGTATTTTGCTCAAAATCACTAAACCTTAATTTATTAAATTAAACTAATTTAATAATTTAGAAAATTATTAAAAGGAAAAATATAATTACATTTCGTAATAAACTAAATTATAAAATTGACTTAGTCAACTGATAGTGTGTGAAATAGTGGATACAGTGGCAAATAATATAGATGTAGTCCCTACCCTCATGAAGTTCATAGACTAGTAGAAAAGACCTACATTAACATTTATCACTGGAGGTATAGTGTAAGGTGCTCCAGAACTTGTAGACCTAAAACATTCAATGTGAATGTTAAAGGAAAAGCATGAGTTGGCTACAGTGAAGTGGAGAGTGTTCCCAAGGAGAAGAACTGGCCTTTGCAAAACCTTGACTTAAGAAAGAGTGCACAAAACACGTGTGGCATTCAATGACCTAAAATAATCACAATATTATCAGGATGGGGATAATGCAATGAGGAGAAAATAGGATGAAAATGGAAACGTAGACAGGGTTCAGGTCTACAATTTTGACTATCTGTTTAGATGTTTGATCATTACCCCAAGGGTAGTAAAACGGTAGCAAAATTATTCCAATTACGTTTACGAAGGTCATTTTGGTGCAGTGTGAGGAATGGATTGAAAGGAGCCAGCAGGAATTCAGAAAGACCAGTGCAGAGGAAATGCAATAAACTGGAGGAGCTATTAGACTTGAGGTTAGTCTGGAAGGACACCTGGCCCGTGCAGTGATATGGTGATGGAAAAGGGTGGACTGAATCCAGACAGAGCAGACAGAATTGACAATATTTAGTGCTAAATTTGAATGTGAAGACTTAGGGAGAGAGGGAAATCCAAGATTCCTCCTAGGACCCTGGTTAGATCATGGAGCATTTTACAAGGTACAGAGCTGTCAAAGGAACAATATTTAGCAGGAGGGGTAGAAGGTAGGATGAAGAGATATTTAGCTGCCTTTTAGAACTAATTTTTTAAAAATAATTCTGAAGTGTCAATAAGATAGAAGTGCAGATATTGTACAAACAAGCGGGTGTGTGGAATTCAGAACAGAGAGCTCACCTGAGAGATGTATTTGGCATTGGTGGTACATAAGAGGTTGTGCTTGTTGAGCTATGTTTGTTGATGACCCCTCCTAGGAGGAGGAGAGCAGAAGAAGGGAAGATGGTTTAGATATCCATGTTTTTCTTTTCAAAAAGTGAAATGCAGCATTTCAAAGAATGCAGAGAAATTGGGGCCTCAAGGCAGGAAGAAACTACGGAATTGGGACATCATTACAACAAAGGGAAGAGAACTTAATGCAAAAGGGAGGAATTGGCTTGGTGCCTGTTCAGTGGTTAGGGTGCTGGCCACATACAACAAGGCTGCCCTGCCTGGGCCTACTAAACAACATTGACAACTGCAACAAAAAAGTAGCTGGGTGTTGTGGTGGGTGCCTATAGTCCCAGCTACTTGGGAGGCTGAGGCAAGAAAATGACTTAAGCCCAAGAATTTGAGGTTGCTGTGAGCCGTGATGTTTCAGCACTCTACAGAGGTTAACATAGTAAGACTGTCTCAAAAAAAAAGAAAAAAAGTGGGAGGGGGAGGAATTGTCTTTGTTGAATGCTGCTAAGAAAGCTAAGCAAATGAGAATTGAAATTGTTCTTTTGTTTTTAGTGAGCAACAGTGAAGATGATTTTCATTTTTAGAAAGAAAAGCTTGTATGCAGAGGATGTGATAGGGGAAAAGAAAGATAAACAACTCTTCAAGAGGTTTGGTTGTGAAAGAAGAAGAAAGGCAGGGCTGTAAGTAGTCAAAGAGGTTGTGAGTTACCAGAGAGAATTGTCCACCCCCACCCCATACCCCAAGACAGGAGAGACTGAAGCAAGTTTGTATTGACAGGAAGATGCCATTAAAGATGCCTGAAGGAAGAGGTAAGAGAAGAGATTGTGGAAGTATTGTGGAAAGCTGGAAAGTGTCCCCAGTACAGGTGGAAGGATTGAGGACTTTCCTGCTGGGATAGGAAGAGGAAAGGTGCTGAGGGGTTTGTTGCTTTGGGGGCGGGAATTGGAGATGCAGTTGTATTATGTTACCTCTTTTCTCTGTGAAGCGGAAAATAAAGTCATCAGCTTGAAATGGAGAGGGAAGGAAGACCAAAGTTGGAGGTTAAAGGGAAGTGGAGAATATTTGAAATTGTGTTTGTAGGGATTAAGAGGGGGAGTAAAGTGGAAAAATACAGGACTGTGTGGAGGGACATTGAGGGTGGTGACTGCACACTTAGAGTGGTGCCAGTCTGCCAAGGGGTGTTCTTTTCCCTCTAGGGCCTAAGCCAGTAGGCACAGAGGATCCTTTGGTTTTATACCAATAACTAATATAATGTGCTATAACTAATAGCACGTCATCTTTAATTTTAGCTTATTTTTTGTTTGCTTTTACTAATAAAGGAAAAACCATGTGTTTCTTCTTTGAAATGGTGTTTTTCCTGTGTTTTCTAGATTGTAGTGCCCCCACGTGGCTGATCTATATCACTTACTTATAACTGTTTTCCTGTTGATGTATTTCAACAAGCTGAGAATTAAGCATAAGCCTTATGGTACTGCTACTAAAAATAAAAAAAGTCAATTTTTGCTTTGACTGAAACCAGTCTTGGATGCAAAAATTCTTCCTTTGTAGATCAACACAACATTGGTTATTCACTGTCCTGTTTGACTGCTCTTGAAATTGTGTTTATATTTTGTCATGTGTAAGTAATGAGATTACTTACAATAAAAAATAAAGAGTAAGAAAGATTATGAATAGTATTTATTCCATTACTAGGATTTTGATAATTGCATCTAAGTTTGCTGCTTTATATAATTGCAACTGAATCTATATTGTGATTTTTTTTTTTTTTTTTGAGACAGCATCTCACTTTGTTTCCCAGGCTGGGGTGCAGTGGTGTGATCATAGCTGACTGCAACCTCTGACTCTTGGGCTCATGCAATCCTCTTGCTTCAGCCTCCCAAGGAGCTGAAACTATAGGCATCCACCACAACACTCAACTAATTTTGAATTTTTTTGTTAAGATGAAGTCTTACTTTTTGTCTGGGCTGATCTCAAACTCCTGATCTCAAGTGATCCCCCTACCTTGGCCCCTCAGAGTGCTAGGATTATAGGCATGAACAACTGTGTCTGGCCTGAATCTTTCTTGTGCATTTTATTAACTATGAAAGAAAATCATCTTAATTGATTACTGAATATTTTCTTAAACAGGTATTACTTACTATTTATTCAATGTGAAGGAAAGTGAAAGGCATTGACTATACCAACATAGGCAAAGTAGTAAAGGATCAGACAGACTTGATATTTGTTATAAGCAGTAATCTCTATGAATAGGAAGTAAGGAACAAAACTTATCAAACATCTATTATGTACCAGGCCGATTAAATTGTGGAAGATGTAACATTTTAACTAATTTGATCCTCCTATCAATCTTGTAAAATTGCTATTTTTTCTTGCTTGGATAGCCAAGTCAACTGAGCTTCAGGGAAGGCGGCCTCAGCTACAAATCCAAGAAATGCCAATGCAAATGCCTGCATCTTCCATCACAATTCAGATTCTTAGAGTATATCATATCTGTATGTAGAAAGGACCTCATTGGAAGACATTTTGAATTTATGCTTTTAATTAATTGTTTGAGTTCTCCTGTTGAATTTCATCCAGGATTTACAGACATGCTGAACTTGCCCTTCTGTTGTTCAGTTGAGTTTGTCATCCAGAAAACTTACATTGATAAGTTATTCGCCAATGAACTTCTTTCTTTGCATTTAATCTTTTTAATGACTAAAAGTACCTAAATAGCCTGAAAATAGTTGATGATTTTCCACTAGGCATGATTCAGATATGGGAATGTTGTTAAGTTACAGAAATAAAAAAAAAAGTCAATGCTAAAATAGTAAGTAGCATAAAGTAATAAGAAGCATGAAACTTTTCAGCTTCATGGTGGTGACCACCTGGTAGTGCGTGATAGTGAGATTTCTGCGTTGAACTTTGTCTTCCTTGACGATATTCTACTTTATTCAATGTGCTCATTATGTGCACTATTCTCACCAACTGTGTATTTATGACCATGAGTAACCCTCCAGACTGGACAAAGAATGTGGAGTAAGTAGACAATTTAGACATATCCTCAATATCGACATACTTTTATGTTTTGACTTGTCCTGTGTCAGTGTCTTCAGACCTCCTCAGTTCCTTTAATACCTCATGCTAGCTACTCTAAACCAAACACTGATTCAAGTTTGTTTTAACCCCTGATTTTCTCCAGAACGAAACTTTCAGTGGCTCATTCAATTGCTCAAATTAATGCACTGGTTTGACTGCCAGCGTTTAGCCCTTTATTTTCCTTGTGAATCTTATACTCAAGATAAGTAATCATCAGTAAATCACCAGTGATTTACTGGTGATTAAATATCTGCTGACAAAAATTGTGCCCGGTTTGTATGTTCCTTTTCTATTGGCTATCACAGTTCTGTGTTTTACTAGTATATCTTTCAAGGCTCTTGATGGGGCATTCTTTATGAAACATTGATGCTTCATTCATTTTTGGATTAATACCTATTTGTTTAAATCAGATTGAAAGCCAATGTGTTTCAGATAATATTGTAACATAGGTTAACATTACCACATTTTGCTGTGTATAATGTGCTCCTTTGTGTAATGCATACCCACATTTTTGGCCCACACTTTCAGAAAATAAATCTTTTGTTTTAATTTTTTAATTCAAATGTTTATTTGTTTATATTAGGTCCTCTTTTGGTAATATGACATACATTTAGTATTTATTTTTTAGCATATTATGGTATAAGAAATTTTGTGTAACAAATAATTACAAAATACAAGAACAGATACAGTGTACAGAAATTTAATGGACCAGCAGCAGATTTTTGATATTTATGCATCATACATATAGAAGGCCAAGAGCTCTTTGTCACTGTCAATGTCAGATGTATCATCTTCAATTTCTACACTTCTGATTTCTTCTGAAGTGTACTTTCCTCACACTGGTAAATTTCATAGTCCCCAGTTCCATCCATAGCATTGCTGATGCCACATTTTTTATAATGTCACAACCATTTCCTTCTTGACTGCATTCCACGATCTTAGGACCCAATCACAAGTCTGGGTGATGTATGCTTTCTTGATTCCGCTTGTAAGTGTTAAGTCATTACCAGCTGCCTGATCCATGGCATGCATCTTTCTTCACTAGGGCCTGAAAGGTGCCGTTTACTGACACATTGCAAGGTTGCAGTTGGTTTGTTAGTCCACTGGGTATCGCAGCACTTAGAGTTTTCAAGTCTGGCCCAATTGTTTTTGATATTTTCCAAGGGATTTTCCATTAATTGTTAATAAAAATATCACCTAGATCGCTAGCTCCTCCCTAAAGGATATGAACAGAAATACATTGCTCTTCGTTTGCCAAAAAAGCTTTTGTTGCGAGTTCATCACAAGTGCAACAAAACGAATTATCGTATTACAGGGTATTATTTTGCATACAGATATCATTATTGCTTTCTAGAGTTATACTTGTAATGCATAAGCATAAATAAAAGAATGAAAGCATTTACACAGATACAGAATTAGTATTACTCATGTACAATGTGCATCCTTATTTTTCCCTCAAAAATTTGTGCAAAAAGGTGCTTTTTATATACAGCAGAAGATGGTGTTTGTATCCTTTAAGTTAATTAATGTGGAAAGTCCAATATTCCTTTATTTACAGTCAATGAGAATGTCTTTCGGAATATAATGCTTCTTTTTGCCTTAAGCCCCACCCCTCCCCGCTCTATATCATAGGAAGACCAATATGGAGACCTCTAATTTTTGTTTATTGTTTAAATCACCTTTAAGATATGTACATGTAAATTAACCACTAGATTTTTAATGTGAGCTTGGGTATTTTCTCTCAGGTACACCTTTACAGGAATTTATACTTTTGAATCACTTATTAAAATACTTGCAAGGGGCTTTTGTTTAGAAGATTTCACATTTCTTCGGGATCCATGGAATTGGCTGGATTTCACAGTCATTACATTTGCGTAAGTATCTTAATACATTTTTGATCCTGAAAGAGCAAATCATTGGTGGGACCCCATACTGTATTTCTCCATGGTGGCGTCCCTTGACAAAGTGAGCATTTTTCTTGTTTATCATGTAAATTTAGAGTATTTTTCTTCTAACCAAATCATTCAGTTTGGAGAAATTAGGAATTATTATAGTAAATTGCACAGCTTTGTTTTCAATTAGCACTGTAAAGTCTTACAATAAAGTTTCTCATGTCAGAGGGACTATGATTGATGGCAATGCCATTTTTCTCTAGATTGGGAAATTGGATGGCAACACTCACTGAAGTTGAAAAGGTCTTGTTGAAAGACCAACGTAGACTTAGATTTCGCTAAATTCTGAATAACTCTGATTTAATTCTACAGGTATGTAACAGAATTTGTAAACCTAGGCAATGTTTCAGCTCTTCGAACTTTCAGAGTCTTGAGAGCTTTGAAAACTATTTCTGTAATTCCAGGTAAGAAGAAAGTGGTATAAGGTGGTAGGCCCCTTATATCTCCAACTGTTCTTGTGTTCTGTCATTGTGTTTGTGTGTGAACTCCCCTATTACAGATATGTGACAGAGTTTGTGGACCTGGGCAATGTCTCAGCGTTGAGAACATTCAGAGTTCTCCGAGCATTGAAAACAATTTCAGTCATTCCAGGTGAGAGCTAGGTTAAACACCGAGGCTGACTTTAGCTGCATTGGTGCTACAATCACAGCTTTTGTGCAGAAGCCTTGTTGCTTATCGCATATTGCAAATAAATAAGTAAAAAAGCAAGAATTGGTACATCATATTTCGGATGGATTTGATTCTTTGCTTTTTACTACTTGCTTTCTTTAAAACTAATCTAAATCAGCCTTTGAGTTTAACAAGTTTTGCATGAGGCATTTGCAGTAACAGGCTACATGGTTTGCATCCTGTAACATCAAGCTTTTCGCATAGAAACCAAATTATGAAACATTCAGATTGATGCAAATTTGACCATTTAGGCCTAAAACTGGCAATCTTTCTAACTGCAGTCAAATAAAATGAAGCAGTAAGGGATAGCATGAGTGCTGCATGAGGCTCAGTTTTCAGATGTCTTCCTTTTTTAACCCGCATATACAATTGCAGATTCACAAATACATAACCTTGTAATCCAGTGACTTCCAGATTTCTTACTACGCTATCCATGTAGACTTTTCTAAAACCAATAAGGGGTTAGGGAGTAAGACATCTGCAAATAAAGGCACAATATTTACACAAGGTTGATGTTTAAGCATGAATAACAAATCATTTCTTTTGCTCTAAGGAGTGTTTGGAAATACACATTTGGTCCGTTTCCATTCACAGTTTTTAATGAACGTACAAGTTCTGCTTTCATTCATTTTCACCAGCAAGCAGGCTTTTCATGAAAATGTTATTCAACCCCAAACATTGAACTAATAGTGTTGGCATTCTGCATGACACTTTTATTTTCCAGGACAAGCTCATGATATTTTTGCTGGTAAAGAAGCTGTCAAATAGTATATTTAAATTTCTCCTTCTGATTTTATCTGTAGGCCTGAAGACCATTGTGGGGGCCCTGATCCAGTCGGTGAAGAAGCTCTCTGACGTCATGATCCTGACTGTGTTCTGTCTGAGCGTGTTTGCGCTGATTGGGCTGCAGCTGTTTATGGGCAACCTGAGGAATAAATGCCTGCAGTGGCCCCCAGATAATTCTTCCTTTGAAATCAATATCACTACCTTCTTTAATAACTCATTGGATGGGAACGGTACCATGTTCAATAGGACAATGAGCATGTTTAACTGGGATGAGTACATTGAGGATAAAAGTAAGATATGCTCTACTAATAAACCGTTAGGTCATTTAGTTCTTTAAATATTAAAAACTGTATGCAGTGAAAATTATCGCAATTTTGATGTGAACCAAATGATCTAGACTAACTTAAGGTGACTTAATGCAAGTAATGGATAAATGAAATGATACCTCACTCCTTTTCTTCTTCTGTCAATTGTATGATGAAAGTTACCATTTGAAAATATATTACCTTTTCCAAAACTAGAGTGGAAAGTAATTCTGTACGCTGTATAAACAAGAATATTTATTTGGTAGGCATTGATCAGTCACTTTCAAACATCTTCATAAATAAATCAGCGGTTTGAACTTTTCGGTATATCCTGCTGAATTATGTCAAGAAGGAGGGAAGATAATTTGGCTCTTTTTGGTTCACTCAGAATATGTACTGAGTACTTACAATGTCTCTGGAAATAGAGATGTAGATGAAATCAGAACTCATAAGAATGTTAAGCAACCCCAATTCCCTCATTCACTAATTCATATTCCAACCTGTATGTTTGGTGTCAGTCAGTTGTTTATCAATATAGTTTGATTTTATTTTAGGTACAGGCATTAGAATAAGCTTATTGATGTCATGTCATAAACCTCAGCCTGATTTCCTATCACTGAACCCAGCACCACTGTCATTTATGTGTCATATGAGTGTCATGTGTATGTTTATATGCAACTATATAAATACACATGTGTGTGTTTCCTGAGATCATCTTTTCAATATCTTAACGTTATATGTAAACTATATCCTAAAAATAAAAACCAGGTATGCTTAGACTCTAACATACATCTCTGAAGAAATAAGTTTATCTTGTTTATTTGAAAGGGCGATATCAAGTGAAAACCCCAAACAAAATAGTTATTTACGGCGTCATGAGAGGGAACAAACACTTAAGCCTATTTCTCACAGGAAATAGAATTCTCAGGAAAAAAATGTGTGAATCTATTTTGAGTCCAGGCAAAAAGTATTTGCAAAGTAAACTTTTATTTGCATGGAAACATTCGGAAACAAGAAGGCTTCCCTCTCTCTCACTTTTCTGCCAAGCAAGCAGCCTTACTTCACCGCTCTTTCTTGAAGTATCCCAATAAATCTGAGTTTATATTTGCAATAAATACTGTTATGAGAATGCTAT